AGTGTGTGTGTGTGTGTGTGTGTGTGAGTGCGTGTGTGTGTGTGTGTGTGTGTGTCTGTCTGTGTGTGTTTGTGTCTGTCTGACTGTCTGTCTGTCTGTCTGTCTGACTGACTGTAGATTCTACAGGTTATTAGTAGTTTTAAAGTGTAAATGATGATCTCCTGTGTTACTGTTTTATTTCAGAGTTCCTTAAGATATGCTCAGCATGGAAAACTGAGATGTGGATGTGGTTTCGCATTTTCCTTACAGATATGATCATTTATCAGGTATGATTTAATTTAATGATTTTTTTTTTTTTACTTGATTGATTGATAATATAGGTCATATATGAAGTCATAACTGTAAATATACCTGTTTCTAGTTTAAGATAGAAAAAGCTGCTCACAAACCAAAGTGACGTCTGATTCGTGAGCAAGTCAATTCTGTTCGGTCAAACAGATTCACAAATCAATCTAAATGGTTCTTTAGTGAATCAGACCGAGTCTGAATAGTTTTTTTTTTCTTTTCTGTAAAGACCTCTTCACACCAAGATTGAAACGACAAAGAAAAGCAAATATTTTGACCAATTATCATCTATGACCAGAACAGTCAGTTTTAGAATATAATAGTTTATCACAGTATAATTATGTCAATGGAGCCATAGTATTATAATTATAGTTTTTATTAACATTTTGAAAATGCTTTTATTTTCATATTGGGTTTTTTATTCATTTTAATTTTGGTTTTTTTTTTTATTTGTTAAACTCTGTTATATGCTTTTGTTATTTTAATTAATGTTTGTTATTTTATATTAGTATTTAGATTAAATTGTCTTTATTTCAGCTTTAGTTTTAGTTTATTTCCTGTTAGTAATTTTAGTACTTCAACTTCAGCTTATTTCAGTTAGTTGCCAAGGCAACATTTCTAATTTCCTAATTCTCTAGCTTTTCATCTAATATTTATTTGTATTTCATGTCAGCTTTATTTCATTTAACAAAAACTATTTGAATACTTTTAGTTTAAGTTAATAATAGTAATACTGTCCATCAATTTAGTTCTATGAAATCAAGTTAAAATATATCAGAATATAATTTTAATATGTCAGTGTCTCCATAGCAGTGGTATATTAGTATTATTTGTATCAGTTTTGTATTTTTATTAACATTCGAATTTGGTACTTTTGTCATTTTATTAGTTTATTTTTTTTAATATTAATTCCTAGTTTTTTTTAGTTTTAGTTTTAATTTATTTCCACTTAATAATTTTAGAGCTTTGACTTAAACTTATTTCAGTTTGTTGGCAAAGCAAAATTTCTAATTTTCATTTCTAAATTAATTAATTTTAAGTTTTTTTTTGTTTAAGCTTTTCAAGTTTAAGTTTTTCGTCTATTATTTTATTTTATTTCAAATATTTAAAACAAATAATAATAGTTTCGCACACACACACACACACACTCACGCACACACACACACACTGCATTAGAGCTGCTGTATTTAGTGCATCTCATCGTGTTCACGCTGTGGTGTGTCAGATGGCGTGTGAGAAGCTTCTGGAGGTTGTCTCTGGTCTGATGCCTCAGAATCATGAAGCGGTGAAGAGCAGCGAGGAGCAGCGCAAACCCCGCAGCAAAACCAGGAAAGGTGCGTCTATAGCACATACATAATCTGCTGTTTTACTACAATACTTTATTTTTATTTTATTAACCCTGGCTCTTTTTTTTTTTGGCTGTGTTAATATTAACAGCATACATTAATTAGATGTTACAGTGTGGAAATTTAATTGATACCCATTAAAACATCAATATTTATTCATAGTGCCATTAAAGCATAAAATCATGCATTCCTTAATAAGCTTTCATTCTGTTGGCAAGGCTTCAGAATGTTTGCTATTTTTTTTTTTTACTATTTTCCACCTGATGTTGTTGTTAATTAGTGACTTATTCAAGACTAATTCATGTAATGAATTATTATTATTATTATTTATTAATTAAGAATCTGCAAAAAAAAGAAAAAAAATCTGCGTAGCATTTATTATTTTTGTGCGTGTGTTTTATTATAAAAACACCAGTGGCATTATGTGAACAAACTGGCAATTAAAGGGTAAAAATCTAGAAAATGAATGAATTTTTGGTAGTTATGACCAGAAATGATGTTCATAAAAATCTGTCATATTAATATATTATTTATTTATAAAAATATTAATTTATATTATTTCCTTTTTTTGTAACTTAATAATTATTAATAAGTTATATTTATTTCACAGTAGTGACCCTTTTGGTTTCTGAAATTAACAGTAAGGTAACATTTATTAACATTTGATGACATGAACTAACAATGAGCAATATATTTTAAGAGCATATATTAATCTTTGTTAATGTTAGTTAATAAAAAATAAAATTCTTCATTCATGTTAGTTCACAGTGACGTAACTAATGTTAACAGATACAACTTTTGATTTTAAAAATGTATTAATAAAAGTTAAAATTAACATTAAATAATATTAACAAATGATGTAGAAGTGTTCATTGTTTGTTTATATTTACTAGTGTAGTTAACTAATGTTAACAAATGAATCCTTGTGATGAAGTGTTAACCTTTTTTCCATTAGCAGTAATATTGAGGGTTGTTATAGTTAAGAGTTTAAAACTGAACATAAATTAAAACCATTAAAAACATTTTTGTTACTTGAAATAAAATGTTAACAGAAATGAAATAAAATATAAAAACTTTTTTTTATTTTATTTCAGCTAGTAGCCAATGCAGTAGTTCTTATTTTAATTGTTTAACTTGATGTACTAAAGTAACTAAAATTAAAACTGAAAAAAAAAAAATGGCTGTAAATTATCTTTTTTTTGTTTGTTTGTTTGTTTTTTAAATAGCTGAGAAAAAATTACTTTTTACTCTGAAGACTTTGTTTTGGGGCTAAACGATTTGGAAAAAAAAACAACTTTGAATGTCTAAAAACTTTTGAATGTCACTTTCAAAATTTCAAAACTTTAGAATTTTAACTTTTACATTTTAAATGTCACTGAAACCAGCAGTGCATGTCATCTAATTAATATTCATGAGCCAGGTTTTTTTTGCCATAATAGGATCTCTCTCTCCTCTGTTGCTAGGTAACGATCTGAGGCTCGTCCCCTGCTCCAGTAAATCCATCCTTCCCTTCTGTCTTCAGCTCATGCTGGCCTGTTTTAAGGTACCGGATCTGAACGTCTCACCCGCTCAAACCTCACAGCTCAGATTCGTTTTTTTAACTCGTTCCCTCTCTTTCTAAGCTGAGGGCCTTCACAGATAACAGAGACGACCTGGCTCTGGGTCATGTGGTGGTTCTCCTGCAGTATGATTGGCCGCAGGGCGAGAATCTCTTCCTGAAGGCGGTGGATAAGATCTGCCAGCAGGGCAGCTTCCAGTACGAGAACTTCTTCAACTACGTCACCAGTATCCTTCAGAAGAGAGATCGACCAGCTCTCCAGTGTTATGTTTCATCTAAAACCTTGACTTCAAGCCTTTATGGATAAAGCATTATAAAAGGAGTTTTAATGCATTAAGTATGCCTTGTAATGCATTATACAATCTCAAGAATAATTGTTTGATACATTATGACACTTATCAATTCATTGTTACACTATGCATTTAAAATGTTTAGCATGGTGAAATTTTTTTGATCAGACACTAATTCCAATCGTAATTCAGAATGAGTGTATTTTCATATATATATTTGTCTTTGACCAGCTTTCTGTCTGAGACATTGACATGTTAGAAGAGTTTGCTTACCTTCGCACGACTGAAGGAGGGCGGGTCCAGCTGGAGCTGCTGCCCAATCAGGGGATGCTCATCAAGTAAGTCCCGCCCACATCACTCACGTCAGCCAATGGAACTGGAGATGATGAGAAGTGATCATCGAAGGTCCCTCCCTCCTTCCTGTTTCCTTTCTCCTTTTGTTTTGGACAAATCGAATAGGCTGCGGTTAAGACTAACAGCCGTGACAGGAAGAAGGCGGTTTGCTTAGTGTGTTTTCTTTACCCTGCTTTAGTGCTGATGTCTCTCGTCCTCCAGCTGCTTTTTGAAGCCTTTTTGATCAGTTTTATGGTCTTTGTCTGACATTGTGTGGGGTTTTAAAGGGGTTGCAACTTGCAAGTTCAGATCTGTTAGGTAGTTTTAAAAATACTGGATGAATGTCAGAGCTAGATCATGACTTAAAAGTAAAGGTTCTCTATTGGCGTTGATGGTTCCGTTAAGAACTTTTATCATCCATGGAGCCACTAAAGGTTCTTTATAGTGTAAAAGGTTTATAAAAGATTATAAAAATGTAATTCACACTAAGAAAAAAAAAAAGGTTTTAAGAACTGATCACTGAAAGGTTATTTTTGGGTCATTTCGTGTTGACTTTTTTTTAGTAAAAGAAGTACTTTAATTTGTTCTTCAGACATTCTTCTTAAAATATAAACATCAGCTGTATGCAAAGTGACCCACACTTGGTTTTCGACCACTGAAAATGGGTAAAATTCAGCAATTTTGGACATGGAGTCATATTGAGATCCCCATATCTTTGGTACTGAACCATACAGGGCCTAAAAAATAAAGATTACTAAAGAAAAGTTCATTAAGAACCAGAATCTGAAAGAACATTAAGATATATTTAATACTTCTAGAGTTACAGACATGCAAACCTTGGAAAAAAGTATATTTGTGCATCTCAGGCAGGTGTTTTATGGTACATTTAGATCCCCATATGTCTGGGATTGAACCATATAGAGACTTAAAAATGAAGATACTAAAAGAAAAGTTTAAGAACCAAAATCTAAAAGGATATTAAGATACTTCTTCAGTTACAGGCCTGCAAACGTTGGAGCACAAAAAGTGCTTTTTCCCATTTTTGAACGGTCACCATTGGCATATAATGTAACAAAGATTGCTAAAGTCAACAGATTTTACTAACAGACCTACCAATCTCTGTGTAAAAGTAACATGATGATGCTTCAATCTTTCTGAAGTCATTTTTAACCCCCTGTATTTTGGCTGTGAATCTCAGGTGAAAATGGCCATTTTGACCCTCCTCTCTAAAATAGTGGATTACTCAGTAAATATACATCCATGAAGTTTAATATTTTGGCTTTTATCACTATTTATGTTTGTCTTACTCCAGAAAAAAATTAAGATGTTTCTCAAATTTGGTTGATTTGACCCGGAATGACCCTACTTCTGTGGCATCACTGCAAAAACTTCTTTTAGAAACTATTTTTAAGAGTGTACTTATAAATTATCTAAAAAAAAATACATGTATTACATTCATGTCTGAATTGATATAAAGCAAGAGCTGTTACTTTACATTGTAAATCAGTAGAAAATGACTGTGTTTTGTCATAATGGTATTTTAGATGAAAAACAGACTGGGAGAAATGCTATTTTAAGCTTTATAATGGCAGTTTTTGGATGTGCCGCTTGCTCTTGATGGGCTGTTTGTAGGGTTGTGGGAGTAAATGTCGTAGTGCTGGCGGTGCGTTTATGAGTGTTTGCTGTCCGTAGGAACCCCAGCTCCGCCCTGGGGGTGGAGTTAAACACCCTGCTGCTTCCAGGGGCTCAGAAGGCTGACAGGTACCCCGCCCCCTTCACCGAAACCCCGCCCCCAACCCTCCCAGACTCCTCCCAGCCTGACCATGTGTTCACATTCTCCTCCTATTATTTCTCTTCATTCCGCTCCAGCATTTTCATTTTGCAAGATCGTTCCCGTTCTCATACGGCTCCTTTCCTGTTGTGTTTTACTCGAGTTGTTGTGAAGTCTTCGAAGAATGTTTTTTGTTCGTTTCATATTGCATTGTGTTCGTAGTTTTCATTGAATTGCAGCGTTTTACATTCATGAGTGAATCTCACAGGTGATGACAAGAAATGTCTGAGTTGTATCGCACCTGGGAATCAAAATTAAAAATAATAAATTATATTTTGCTTAATTTTTTTTGTTGTTGTTGCAAAAATCACATTTACAGTAATGATAATGCGGAAAATGTCTCATTCTCTTTATTGAAATATAAAAAAAAAAGATATTTTAAATAGTGAAGAACAAGTGCAAGTATACACAATGTATTTACTCATCTAATTGTACTAATGTCTGCTTGTTTTAAATAGAAAAATAATGATTTATTTATTATATAATTTTTTCACATTACAGATTTTTTTAATAGATTTTAATGTTCTTAAAAACTTTACTATGCCCAAAACAAACAAACAAAGTACCATCATCCAAAATATGCTGTTTTCTTAAGTACACATTTTTTTTTCTTTATTTATTTATAATTATACATTTTATTTTATTTTACTTTTTTATTTAAATGTATTTATTTAGTTTATTTGTTTACAATTATGAATATTTATTTGTATTTTATTTTTAGCTATTTATTTAGTTTATCATTATGAATCTTTATTTTTATTTTACTTTATTTATTTTTATTTATTTCATTTTTGAATTTGAATGCAATATGAGCCAGACGTTTCTTTGTGAGGTTCACCCTTATGTGTATTTTCTGCCACAGTATTCATGTGTGTGCTCAGTGTTTGGTTGGAAGAGCGTTGCTCTTATATCTGTCTGAATGTGGAGAAACTGCTGTTTCGAAACGTTTTGTTTCTTGTATGGGTTCTGCATAAAGTTCACGTTCACATTGGTTCAGTACTCGGTTCTTTCTGTATTTGGTGGCCCGTATCAGCTCTATGTGTTCTCACACGCCGTGTGTCTGTTTTCATAGACACCACACCGTGACTCGAGGAATCACTAAAGGAGTGAAGGAGGATTTTCGGCTGGCGATGGAGCGCCAGGTGTCACGGTGCGGAGAAAACCTGCTCACGGTGCTCCACCGCTTCTGCATTAACGAAAAGATCATCCTCGTCCAGTCATTACCCTGAGCGACCTCTGGCCTTTAACCTATGTATCAGTCCAGTTTTGATACTTTTCAGACATTTTTGAAATGTATCAACTTTTTTGCATCATATATGAAGCTTTAGACATGTTTAGAGTCACAATGCATCGAGCAGATCTCATTTAGGTCATGGTTTTATTTTAGGTATTAATTAACAAACATTCAAAAATATTCAGCATTTTCTTATTATTTGTCTGTAAAATGCAGAATTCACTGTTAAAGCAAATGCAATATGTTCACATTGTATTGTTGTAAAATGCTTCATGAACTAACTAGACTGTGTTATTGTGTAATATAATGTTGTGCAGGCAGCTCATAATAAATAAAACATTTGTTCTCTAGTTGAATATGGAATTTAATTGTCATTCTTTACCCTGTTTCAGTCCATCCATCACTAACGTGGTCTTCCTTAAGGTCTCTATTCACTGTAAATCTCAGGATGTATTTTGTCTCATTTATGGTTATTAATTTCAAGGACTGGTACTTTTGCATGCTAGGTACCAATCTTTGTAATTAATAACTTTGAAACAGTGGCTCTCAACCTTTTTGGACTTCCCAAGTCCTTACATTTCTGAATTTTCTTCAGGGTTCCCAGTCTTTTTAATCAATGAATATGCATGCCTTTTTCAGTTGTTTGTGATTCATTGCATACAAATTAAGGATTTTTAATATGATTTTTACTCATAAATTCTACCAATAAAATGTTTTAGAGCTTGGAAAATATTTTTAGACTAAATAAAATGATACAATTATTATTTGCATCATGGAATTTTGCAATAAATAAATAAATGTACAATGAAATGTAAGCATAAATAGGCATTATAAATAAATGTAGCTTTTCACGTAACAAAAAAATGATGCTTAAATTAAATAAAATATTAATGCTTACATTTTAATTGTATTTTCATTTAATTATTGCATCATTCCATGATGTATTTAATATTTCCATTATTTATTTATTTAGTATGTGAAATCTCTCCATATTCTAGCAAGAAAAGTTACATATAGTTATGGAGTTTTTGGAATAATAGATTTTAAAAACCTGATATAGTTTTATCACAAAATTTTCTCACCATGAACTATCCACATGATGCTGGCATTGCATTAAAAAAGAAAAAATAAATTCCATTTTCCAGTTCCATAAATATCTTAATTTTAGACATGTTTTGTCTTATTTAAAATCATTTAAAGTCATATTGAAGCCCCTGTGGAAGTTTGCTGATGCCCTCTTGTTGAGAACCACTGTTTTAAACGAGTATCCGCTTGACAATCTCTATGAAATTGTTAGTAAAATTCCCTCTAATCACTATTCTTCTCTTTTCTCACCATGAACTATCCACATGATGCTGGCATTGCATTAAAAAAGAAAAAGAATAAATTCCATTTTCCAGTTCCATAAATATCTTAATTTTAGACATGTTTTGTCTTATTTAAAATCATTTAAAGTCATATTGAAGCCCCTGTGGAAGTTTGCTGATGCCCTCTTGTTGAGAACCACTGTTTTAAACGAGTATCCGCTTGACAATCTCTATGAAATTGTTAGTAAAATTCCCTCTAATCACTATTCTTCTCTCTCTGGTGGACTGGGAAGGTCGGCCTGCAGAGCTGCTCTGAGATTTGCCCAGAAGAGTTTCTGCTTGGCTCCTTCCGGTGGCCACTCCAGATTGGTGCGTCTGGACATCATAGCCTTGAGCTGGTAGTACTTGGAGGGAATGAGATACAACGGCAGAGGTTCCAGCAGAATGAGAATAATGCTGTCCATCCCTCGCGTCACCCGCTGGTGATTGGCGAAGTAGAGTTCGTAGTGGCACCATTCGCTCTGGACGAAATGAGAGGAGAGCACAAAGACACAACTTCGGCTCTGCTCTATGCATCGTAGAATGTTCTGGATGATCGTCTTTCCCGGGATGCTCGTGGTGACACACTCGCAAGCCGTAGTTGCCTTCGAGCTTGGGAAGAAATTCAGATTTGACCCAGTCGGCGTTCTTTTGGCTGTACGATACGAATGCATGGAAGCGCAACCCCTCCCAAGTCTTCCGCTTTCCTTTGGGAAGTTATTGCATTGTGCTTGGCTCGCGTCCATTTCCAGATCATCTTGAGGTACCATGGCACGTCCAGACGATTGCAAAGAAGGCTAACGGCAACTATTAAAGTGATTGTCGGGATCAGAATAGTAATAGCCAGGATCCAAGCATTGCAGGAGATCTCAGGAAGGTAGAAGTCTTCTAGTAAGGAGTTACTCCAGGATTCTGGGTAACTGCACCGGTATCCTTTCGGCCAGTGGCCGAGAGTCAAACCAAGAGTTTCTCCTCTTGGTCGTGTCACTCGGTCTTTGATGAGAGTAGTGAATTCACGCAAAGCTCATGTACGGATGAAAGGGTTGCGACTCAAGACCAGATCTTCAAGATGCAAGTCTCGAGGGCTCCCGGTAAAGGCAAATTAATTGAGTTGGATCTTACAGAGAGCTTCTGCAGATTTGGGAACGCTTGGCAGGTGGGAAGGTGTAGAAGACGGTTGTCCATAAGGTCAAGGACCCTCAAGTCGTCCAAAACCCGAAGATCTGAAGGAACTGTGGTCACTCGGGTACTCCGAAGGTTTAGGATCCGTATGGAATCGGGCAAACACTTGAAGACACTCTGGTCGAACCCATTCGAAGACAAATCTAGTTGGACAACTTTGGGAGGCCAAATGCATTTGCCTTGTTCCTCCGAATAGGTAAGTGTGTTTTGACTGAGGTCGATGTATTGAAGCGAATCCATGAGAGGGATTCTTGAGGTCAGAGGTCTAAGGAGTTTCAAGTTGTTGCCCTTCAGAACCAACTTTACTAGGTTTGTCAATGTACTGCATTCAGTATCCGGATCAACCGAGAAGACGTTTTCTGTAAGGGCGCAATCGGACAAGTCCAACACCTCGTTTTGGCTAACAGTCAAAGGACAGGTCATGAAGATGATTGGCGTTTGGGTTAAACTGACGTTTCTTGCAGGCATGTTTATGAAGAAGTCATAGAGCTTTTTTTGATTGAAGATGAATTCGGTTACGGATGCTCTTGTCATAGAAAAGAAATCCAACATGCGGCTTGTGGACAACGGTATGCCGTCTTCCATTTTTGTCATTGTAAGGTCTGAGAAAGAAAGCTGTCGAATTGTAGACTGCAATATTGTGTTTACACAGCTTGTTAGAACTTTCCAGGTGGTTTCCACTTTGGAGATTTCCAAGCTAACGGTGCGTAGGATTCCTCTGGGGTGCATCTCTTGGATGACCTTCATCCCGCTGTCCACCAAAGTGAATTTGACTTCTTTAAACGCCGCGAAAACATCAACCGTGATTGCAATGTCAAGGTTGCTTTTGGACAAGGCGATGATGGCTTTCTCGGAGCGTACTTCTTTAAGACTGTTCTCATCATATGTCTGTAGGCTGTTTGCATTAATAAAGAGCGTTTTCAGAGTAAGATTGGCAATGTAAGTGAAGTCTTGGTTGCTGATTGATTTGGCGCTCAGGCCCAACCACTGCAGCTGTTTCAAGCTGGAAAATTCCCTTCCTAGCGCCATGATGGAAAACAAGTTGGATGACAAGTCTAAGAGCTGTAGACGTCCCGTTTTAAGCAGGTTGGTCCGAGAGGTTCTGGAGTCTGTTGTGCGACAGATCCAAGATCTCCAAAGTTAAATGCATCCGTGTCTATGTTCTCCAGTATATTCCAGGACAGGTTGAGGAAGTAGAGTCGTGGTCTCTGGAAAATTCCCTTCATAGCGCCATGATGGAAAACAAGTTGGATGACAAGTCTAAGAGCTGTAGACGTCCCGTTTTAAGCAGGTTGGTCCGAGAGGTTCTGGAGTCTGTTGTGCGACAGATCCAAGATCTCCAAAGTTAAATGCATCCATGTCCTCCAGTATATTCCAGGACAGGTTGAGGAAGTAGAGTCGTGGTCTTGTGCTAAAGTCTTTGGCGCTCAGCGTCTGGATGCGATTCAGAGACAGATCCAAGTCCTCCGTGCACGGTTTGAGGCCGGGGGGAACTGAGGACAGGTTCTGAGATGAGTAATTCACTACGGTCCTCTTAATGGCCAGAATGAGAGATGGGTGGAAACACATGACATAAACAGACAGCAGCCACAAACCCGACGGCTTCATCTTTCTGAAGGAGAAAAAACACTTCATTTCCTGTTTTATGTCAACCGCATTTTTGGCTCGTCACAGTTTTCACTTTTACTCAAGTCTCTAGCATTAGTTTGCATTGTGGTTGCATAGCAGTATTTTAAATTTGCTAAAATAAAATAATGCAATAAATGCAAATGAAGGCATTTGGGAAATAGTGCATTTGGACTACTTTTAATATAAATCAAAAGACATTACAGAGTGGAAGTTATTAAATGTTCTAATATGTTGAATATGTTAATGTTGGCATTTAAATTTACTGTACATCAGTTGTATATTTTAAATTCCTGTTTAATTAGCATGTAAATTAACTTTAAAAAAATTCTACTGGACTGTTTTCCTGTTACCTGCATTGTTTTTAACTGCTTTATTTAGCCTCAGACGCAGTTAATGCTGTTAACCATTACAAACACTATCCAAGGCTCTCTAAAGTGCGTGTGACTAAGCAACCATAATGTTTTATTTGAGCTTAAGGTATTTTATCAAAGAATCTTGAGTATTTTAAAGCACCAGGCGACGGCGTGCTCCTGACGCGAAGGATGAAGGTAATTATGTGTAATTATGGCCACTAGTTTTGAGCAAATTAAGGCTACATTTCAATATGAAAATGTAATATAGCCTATGACAGTATATTGCCCTTTATCAAGAGTATTACTGCCATATATGTTACCTATAAGGCCATATATAGCATAATTTCCACATACGTACATTCTCTGGGTGAAGGTATAGCTTAATAAAATGTATAAAATCCCCCTAGTAAAATTTGTGTATGTACATATGTTAATAATATCTAGCCTATAAGTTATAGCAACAATATGTCAGAAATATTTTATCCATATATGCAACTTCATTAAAGCAATATATATATATATATATATAAAGTTGTAAATAAAACAGATTATTGGAGTATATTACTACTTAATATTTTCAGATGTAATTCAATATGTTACTTGCCGTTTCTTTTGTAAATATTTGTGAAATTTAGTAACAGTTTCTAAAACAGTTTTTAATGAGATATTGAAATGAAAAACGTGTATAATGTTTGTTATATTGATGAGAGTTGGTTGTCGATTGTTGTTTTTAATTACTTTGTTATACTGCTATTTGTCTCATTGATCTTGCCATGAAAATAACCACAGATGCTGGTATGGCAATAAA